TATATAGATCTATAATATATTATAATATGTAACAATATAATATATAATATAATATTATTTATATGGATCAGTGGTAGGAAGTGATTGCACATCAGTTGAATAGCATGTATAGTAGCACATGCATTTTAGTGCACTTTTTCAGCAAGTTTTCATTTCTGGGTGAACCATTCCTTTAATATGCTGCATTACAGTAGGCAATGGCATGCACAGAGGGTGGGGGGGGCACCCCTTTAATCGCCGACACTAAAGTGCCCTTTCGGTCCACGATTTCTGACAGTAGGTACATGGTGAAGTTTGCTAAGCAAAAAAAATCTGTTAGATTTTCAGATAATGCAGCTTGTGGAATGATGCAAGCATGCTATGATGAAATTAATACGCAACCAAGACGTCTGGATGACTCAAGTCCTTGTTTGGCCCCAGACCTTTTCTGTCTAATGACATTTCAACAATCAGTGCAATAATGTAATTGGTTTGGGCATCTAGTATCTTTTAGTAAAATGCATGGAATTCCCAGATAATGGTGATTTGTTTGGCTAATTAGTGTTATGCATTTGGCAAACGTTTTTCTCCAAAGCGATTTACATTGCATTGAAAGTATGCAATTGATCAGCTCATGCATTCTGTGGGAATTGAACCCATGACATTGGCATTGCTCGCACAATGCTACTGTTTACTGTATTTGTAAAGTTGCTTTCAGACAAAATCTTCAATCAATCCACTGTTGTCAAACACTCTGGGATTCTTTATTATGCTTGTCCAATTAACTTTATGCCGAACGAGAACCATTTCTCGATTGTTAGCTGTGTATGTATTTGCAGAGAGGCCTGAAATCTACTGTAACTGTAATGATTGAAATAGGACGCTAACACCATTATCTATGACTGAAGATGAATAAGAATGATATTAGTGGTATGGCAGGATTTGAAATGCACAAAAAATCCATTAGGTAAAAACATTTTCTTTTTCATGAATGACAATAGCTGTCTTTATGGTTAGTTGGGATGCATATTATAAAGGTCTTACAGGTCTCCACTCATTGTAAACCTTGAAACCGTCTCAGAAGTGCTGCAAAGACAGATCACGTTAAAGGAGTGAGACAGACAACAAGGAAAAAACACTCACTGTCTTGTCTGGAGGTAAAAAGATTGGTCAGAGTGCTAGAATGACAGATAAATCAATGGGAGCAATAATACAGAATCATCTGTTGAGGTCTAGGAGGCAATCAATCAGAGATCATGACTCTGGTCCAAAACGTAGTGAGCTGCCTTGCTGTCTGCTGCCTACATTATCATGCTAACTGAAATCTGAAATGCAACCACATAAGCTACTGATCTAGAACACTCTCAGAAAAAATTTGTGTTCCACATGCAAAGTGCACAGAAGAACCGATTAGGCTAACTGTAACATAGCACACAAATATTGGATTAAATAGTGTTTTTTATTTAGATATTTTTAGAACTTTTTATGTATTTTTATTATTTGGTTTATTATATTTACAATCAATATTTCACCAGGTTTATCTACCAGCTCACTGAGCCTGTTGCATTATGGGAATGCCTTTTTCATAAAGGATACATTTAAAGGGGTCATATGATGCCTTTAGTCTTTGCAACTTTACAGAACTTCTTTATGCACCAAGAGCTTGTAACACTCCAAAGAGAAAGGAAAAATTTAAATCGCATCATATGACCCCTTTAATGCTGTCTTTTGACTGGATTATACTCTATGCAAGTATGTGAATGTAAACATTTTGTGAGTTATTATAAGGAGGCAGAATCGGTCATTTGTATCTATTTATTCCAATTAATTAGTTAACCCAAATTAGCTCACCCTCAGGCCATCCAAGATGTAGATGGGCTTGTTTCTTAATTTGAACAGATTTTGGAGAAATTTAGTGTTACATCACTTGCTCACCAATGCTTTTTGTGCTGTTTTAGACTGCTTTTGCTTGTAAACAGTGCTTAATCTGTGCATATTTCTCTCCTGATTTAGGCAAGTCAACTTGTCCACTGGAGAAAGCAATATTATGGCTAGAGGACTCATATTTTAGCCGGAAGCAATAGTTTGAAATGCTTTTATGATGGATTTGTTTCCTACAAACATGCAGTTTTTCACTTCACCATGTTTTAATTGATGGACTGGAGTGGTGTGGATTATTGTGATGTTTTTATGAACTGTTTGGACTCTGTTTGTACATTCTGACGGCACCAATTCACTGCAGAGGATCCACTGGTGAACAAGTGATGTAATGCTACTTTTCTCCAAATCTGTTCTGATAAAGAAACAACCTCATCTACATATTGGATGACCTGATGGTGAGTAAATTTCCAGAAAATGTTGATTTTTGGGTGAACTATTATTTCATTGTGCTGAATTATAGTAGGTACATGATAAATTAAAATGGTAATTCAGCTTCCTGTGTTAGGCAGTGTTATGCAATCATTTGTCCTGACATTCCTTAAAATGCTGCCTACATAGTCAGCTCACTGGATTTTTGCAACAGAGTTTCAACTGAGAACATATCACCCTTCACAAAACTGAAGCAGTAGACATTTTAGGACAACTTCAAAGAGATTGCCATAAAAAACAATCAGTATATAGTCGGTAATATGCCAAAACCACAGACCGCCACATCCTCGTTTCTCAGCAGAAAGCAAATGAGCATGTTATCATGAGGCTAACATTCACACTCAGCACTTAAATGGCAGATAATGCGATCTGAAGACTGATATTCCCTGACCTCTTTTCCATTATGGATCAAGCTGCATGTTGATGTAATCCACAATGCACTTAACTCCAATTAAACCTACTGGGAAAAAAACTTGACCATGATTACGCCAATGACAAATTCAGTGACACAACTGAAAATCTTTCATTTCTGGCACCATGTACGTGACAATAACTACAGCAAAGAACTGGAGTCTGGAGGAGAAGACATCATTTGCATTGTTATTCAGGTATTTGTCCCATTGTTCAATGGGTTGAACTGTTGTGTACCTTCATATTGATCATTAAGTCGATATGCAGGGATATTTACATTTGATAAACGCTTTTATCTAGAGTGACTTACACTGCACTGAAAGTATGCATTATATTTAGAAGTTCATGCATTCCCTCAAAATCAAACCTGTAACTTTGACATTGCAAAAAAATTTCAGCAAAAATGTAGACATGAACTAGGACCTTAAGCCAACACAAATTAAATATGACATCTACCCTGAATGACTGCATTACACCAACCTGGAGAATGTAAAGATGTAAATGATATAGTATGTCATCAATAGCAGTTTTTTTCCACAAGTTAGGATACATTGCTGTCATACTTACAATGTGGCAAATAAAACTCACACAAACTCCACAACCACCATTTCAATGGATCTTGGATGTGCACTAGTGAAAGTGGTGTCGGAAAACCACTTGCCTGATCTCAAACAGACTCAGCAAATCAGCATATTAGAGTGATTTCTGAAGGATCATGTGACACTGAAGACTGGAGTAATGATGCTGAAAATTCAGCTTTGATCACAGGAACAAATTGCATTTTATAATAAATATTTAAATAGGAAAAAGCTATTTTAAATTGTAATCATATTGCACAATTTTTACTGTATTTTTGATCAAATAAATGCAAGAAAATCTTACGGACCACAATATTTTCCATAAATTCCGCTTTTTGATCAGGTAACAGTAATCAAAGCCCACTAAAGATGCATTAGAACAAAGATCTCGATGCAATCTGGCTTAACCCTTGTGTGTCAATTTAAAAAACGTTTTTTTTTTTAAATTGTTAAAATAAACATAATTAAATATTATTTAGTAATATATTTATCTGCTTTCACTGACATAGATCGTTTTACCAATATCAGTCCAGATCATAACTACCAATTTTCAGGATTTTACCCTTTAAATGCCATTTTGTTTACATAATAGTTTTTTTTTTGTAATTTTTTAATATATTTTTGATAAAATTACATTAAAAAAGACAAAAAATTTTCCTAAGGACGCATGGATTAAAATGTCTATGTAAAGGGGGCTTCATATCCACCCATTTTCCTGGTGTTTGAAAAAAAAAAGTTAAAAACAGCAAGCTTACCTCTTTATCCTCTAGGTCTGAAGAAAAGCTACTGAAATCCTCAGTGTTGAGGCACTCAAAATCAGACTCCTCATCAGCGATCGGGACCCTGACAGCCAAGCTTGGGTTGCTGATATAATTCTCAGTGTCACTATCCATGTCTGTTCCTCCAGTGCCTTTAACCAGCTCTAGTGTGGTGTGGTTGGAGTTATCATTTATTCCCTTGCAGTTTCTCCCGATCGTGTTCCCATCTACGGTTTTCTTTTTCGGCTTCCTCCTTCTTAAACAGCCGCTCAGGAAGAAATTCTGAAGGCAGGCCTTAACTAAAGCAACACCTTTCCTGATTCGACCAACCGCTATCTGCAGGTTGTTCTTTTCGCCCTCGTCGTCAGGGGCTGCGAGGTTGTCAGCACTGAATGAGCTGAGCAGCAGAGCGAGGAACAGGTTCAGAACCTACAAAATTGGGAAGAAACCAACTACATGTTGACACAATTCAGATTTTTTTAGAGTTCATTTGTTAGAAGTAACTTTACATACCACCAGATTTCCAATGACCATGACCATCATGAACACAATTAAGCACAAGGGCTGTCCCGCCACTTGCATGCAGTCCCACATGGTCTCGATCCACTCTCCACACAAAACCCTGAAGACGATCAGGAACGAGTGGAAGAAATCGTTCATGTGCCAGCGAGGAAGCGTGCAATCCTCAGAAATCTTACACACACAGTCACGGTAGTTCTTCCCGAACAGTTGCATGCCCACCACAGCGAAGATGAAGACGATGATGGCCAGCACAAGCGTCAGGTTGCTCAAGGCGCCTAGTGAGTTGCCAATGATCTTGATTAGCATGTTCAGAGTCGGCCAGGACTTAGCTAGTTTGAAGACTCTCAGCTGTGACAATAAGGGGCATAAAAGATTAGCATGGGCACGTAGAGATGCACAATATAGATAAAAAAAAAAGATCAGTGTCAGCTGATATGCTGCTTTCCTCTAGTTTTAGATTTAGATTAACTTTAATGTCATCTAATGCTGATTCAAAGTTAATCTTTAAAAAAATAATAATTAAATAACTGTCCAGCAAATCTCACTTGTATTTCTATAAATAAAACGTCTCAGGTTACGTATGTAACCATGTTTCCCTGAGAAGGGAAAGAGACACTGCGTCCACTAGTTCCCCAATGCGACCCCTAGAGGACGCAGTTCTAAGTTCCCTCGGAAGGGAACGTCTCAGGTTACGTATGTAACCATGGTTCCCTGAGAAGGGAACGAGACACTGCGTCCTTTAGGGGTCGCATTGGGGAACTAGAGGACGCAGTTCGAAGTTCCCTCGGAAGGGGACAAATATTTATACTGTACATTATAATGCTGTGATGCCTAAATTCACTTAAATTTAAATTGATTCATTTTAGTTTGTAGTGTTTCGTTAGGAATCTTTATTTTGTTTCAATTATTTAATATATATATATATATATTGCATGTCAAATTCCCAAAAGTATTCATGTTAACTTCCCAAGTATACTAATAAGTGACAAGAGTGAAAGTGACGTGACATGTGGCGACCCATACTCGGAATTAGTGCTCTGCATCTCCCATCCAAAGTGCACACACACAGCAGTGAACACACACACACCGTGCACACACACCCGGCGCCCGGGGAGCAGTTGGGGGTTCGGTGCCTTGCTCAAGGGCACCTCAGTCGTGGTATTGAAGGTGGGAGAGAGCGCTGTACATTCACTCCCCCCACAATCCCTGCCGGTATGAGACTCGAACCCCCAACCTTTGGGTTACGAGTCCGACTCTCTAAACATTAGGCCACGACTTCCCCAAATGGTTTACTGGTTTACTGCTGAAAAATCAGCTAGCGAGCTGCTGGCCTTTAGTTTTTAAAAACAAATGCACAAGGACAATCCGAAGCTGATTAGACTGATTTTGCTCTGAATTTGAAGCTTGTCAGAGGGCTGCACAAGTAATTGAAAGAAAAAAACCCCCACAGAATTGCAATATGGCTTAGTGCAAATAGTTGCAAATGCTTGATTTACATATATGCACTGCGTGAATGAAGAAATTAAGATAACCATACATTTTATTGTAATTTAGTGTTACATTGTAATAATAATAATAATTTACTTGATTTTATTTTGCATATATTAGTTTATTTTTGCATAATATTACAATAGTAATACTTATTTTAAATCTTTAATATTTTTAATATTATTATTATTGTATATTATTATTATATGGTCATATTAATATATAATCTTTTTTTTTTTTTTTGCCAAATTGTACAGCTCTACAAACATGCATGGCAAACCTTTCACATTTTAAATCAGAGAAATCACAAACTATGTTATGTAGCCCTAGTTTGCCAACAGTAATGCTTACATTTATAGCAATTAATGACTCAATGTTATGGAGAAACATCTTAACACACACTTTAAGAAATTTTGTATTAAGCATGTACCTGACCTCCTCTTTTA